TTCATCTTCTCAATCTACTTCTCCCTTGGTTTGTAAGTTGCAAAAATCCCTTTATGGCTTAAAACAAGCCTCTAGGCAATGGTATGATAAGTTGTCACAAGCACTTTGCACTGGAGGTTACACACATTCTTTGAATGATTACTCTCTTTTCATTAAAAGGTCTGAATCATCTACTGTATTTCTTGCTGTCTATGTGGACGACATTATCCTTACTGGGGATGATCCTCAAGAGATCAATGCTCTCAAATCAAAGGAAGTTTGTTTCGGAGTTAATTGTTGAATATGGGTGTTCTGATGCTTCTGTTGTTTCTTCTCCCCTTGAGTTGTGTATTAAACTCAAGTCTGATGTTGGGGTTAGGGGTGTCAATGGATATTCGAAAACCGACTAAACCGACCGCACTGTACCGCATCGAATCGATTTTTAGGTTTCTTTTTAAAAAACCGTAGGTTTTTATATAAATCTATAACCGCACCGATAATTAGGGTAGGTTTTTTATTTTATAAAAATAAACCGAAAATATACCGAACCATACCGAATAAATTTTACATGTGGAAAATATATTTATTTAGTATGTTTAAAAATAATAATGCATTATATTTTTGGGCCTTGGAATTATGAAAACTATTACAAGCCAACAATTAATTAAACTCAAAATACTAACTCCTAAAACCTATTATGCTACTTCTATTTAAATTAAGTTATTTCAAGTATCTTTATTAGCAAGACACAAGTATTCTAGCGATTATGAGTAGCAAACTACAATGTATTGAATATATTTCCTTTCATATAATTTAGATTTATCTTTTTGAATATTTAATCTTCTATAGACTTTATTCTTGAGTACCAGCTTGTTATATCTTTCAACTCGTGTGATTTATATTTTCTTTGCCTTTGTTTGATTTCTTTTACATTGTTGTAGAATAGTTGATGGATTTATACTCTAGTCATCTTTTTTTTTTCTTTTTTAATTCATCACCCTTTAAACAGTAAAAATGTCTAGAGAATTTTGCTAAGTCCTCTAAAAGAACGTATGTTATTGCGTTCATTTTACTTCTACTGGTGAATTTTACGTGATATTAAAAAAAAATACCGAAAATTAACCGAACCGTACCGATACCGAAGAAAAACCGACATGATTGGGACGGTTTCGAAAAATCTAATTTTGGTTATACATAATAGAATAACCGAAAAATTGGTATGATACAAATTTTATAAAATAACCGACCGAACCGAACCATTGACACCCCTAGTTGGGGTCTTGCTGCCCAACCCTGAATCTTATAGAAGTTTAGTTGGAAAATTGAATTTTCTCACTCATACCAGGCCAGATTTATGTTTTATTGTGCAACACTTGAGTCAGTTTCTTAAGACACCTCGTCTGCCCCATATGACTGTTGCGTTACACGTTCTAAGGTATTTGAAAGGCACACCTAATGTTGGAGTCCACCTCAATAGTTCTTCTGATTTTTCTGTACAACCCTTTTGTGACAGCGATTGGGCTTCTTGTTCTGATTCAAGGAGACCAGTTTCTGGTTATTGTGTGTTTTTAGGGGGTAGTTTGATTAGCTGGAAATCTAAGAAACAAGCTGCCGTCTCCTTGTCTTCTACTGAAGCAGAATATCGGGGTATGAGTAAAGTGGTGGCTGAACTAGTCTGGCTGGTTCGTTTGTTAGAAGATTTGGGTTTGCCTTCGTCCAGCTCTATTCCTGTTTTCTGTGATAGCTTGGCTGCCCTTCACATCGCTAGAAATCCTGTTTTCCATGAGCGCACGAAACATATTGAAGTTGATTGTCACTTCATCCGCACTAAGTTGGCAGATGGCGTTATTTCTTTGCATCATGTTCCTACCTCTTCTCAACTTGCTGACATTTTTACTAAGTGTTTGACAGGTGCACATCTCAGGTTATTGCTTGGCAAGTTGGGTGTGTTGCCACCCTCCAACTTGAGGGGGTGTTGGAGTTACCTGATGTTAACTAGTTATTAGATTTGGGCCTGATGTTAATTTATACATTAAGACTTGGCCCGGTTGTATTTATTAATAGACCCGGCCCAAATATAAATAGTTTTAGATTTTTTATTTTTGTAAGAACTCTTCAGAAGACATTGTAACGAAATAATGCTCTCGCAGCTTTCCTTCTCTGCATATGAACCCTATTTTCATTCTTCTCCATTTTTGTTCAATCTACAAACATTAACAAACACTTTAACCAAGACTTGTTCTTATTGGATACAACATGATCAAAAGTACTGCACCTATTAAACACCCGAGAACCTATCAAAAAAATAAGGTGTATGTATTACACAAGCGGAGGCTATGGCAAAATGACTAACGGAGTGCAGACATATGGCACTACTTTTCAAAAGTATTTTTTCAAAAGCACTTTTAACATAAATTACTTTTCAAAATAAGCAGATTCTAAATTTTGATGAAAAAATCTATTAACACATTGATTATGTAATTCTTTTTCGAACAATTGGTCTAGTTTAATCATTATAACAGCTTATTTGCTTTATGGATCAGATTACCAACTCACAATCACTCTAGACAGTTACTGTATTGCCTATTGACTCTATAAATCACCAATTAAGCCTAATTCTAATAGTTACGTCAAAGACCTAATGACATTTTAACCAACATTTTGTATAGTTTTCTTAAATATCGTGGTGGTAATATAGCACAACCTTAAGAGGCATAATTTGCCTTTCTTTGCATGTGCCAAAGTATTGTTCATTTTTATATCGGTTTGAATGTATTTCTCGTGGCTAGTAGGGACAACTTTCATGTAGTTATAGATTCATCAAACAAGACTTGGGTGCACCTCATTTCAATGTCTTCACTGAAGTGATGAGTTTCTCATTTGAATTTTTGGTTGGCTTACAATGGCAATAAATTTTCAAGGAGCAACCATCAAAGGCGCAGAATACATTACATTTGGACTACGTTTGATAGAATCCCTTTAGCGGAGAATGTTAGCTTTTTTACACAAATAGTTGGCCGGATTCGCTATTTACTTTGCCTAACTGATATATATAGATTATACATTGATTGATTTGATGTTTATATACACATTATACATCCTCCGACTATTTATAGTTCAAGCAATTGAGTGGGCGGCTGTTTAAATTAATTCTTCTTTCTTTTTTTTTTTGGGTAGGAGGGAAAAACCCCAACCGTTACAACCTCTGCCACAGCCTCTACCCTTTGGGTGAGCACTTTGTAAGGGAGAAATTCAAAAATAGCCAGATTTACCACTGGTCGTTGAAAAATAGTCAAGTTTCAAAAGTCATCGAAATTTAGCCACTTTAAATCTGAGCGAAAACACTGTTCAAAATCCGAAAAAATACGCACGCAAATTTTACGGGAGTGCCACTTTGTCATCCATGATACAGCATCCCGACAAGAACTTCATCGATCCCATTCCCAGTAAGGATACCATAGCCAGCCGACGTATTGTGCCCATGTTGAAGAAGAAACATATAGGAAGCCTTGGTTTCACGATATCAAAGAATATTTGGCAAAAGGAGAATANAATTGTCCAGTATAATATACTGGAGTTTGGAGCACTGGTGCTCCAGTCTCCCGCAAATTTTACAGGAGTTAGCAAAGTATACCGGTCCAGCATAATATGCTGGAGTTCGTACACAAATGCACCAGAACTTCCGTATATTATACTGGACCGGTCCCTGTTGCAGCAAAATAGTGACTATTTTTCATTGACTTGATAAACGCTGGCTATTTTTCATTGACCAGTGTGAAAACTGGCTATACCATGATATTTTAACCTTTGTAAACCTCCCAACTGTAATAGCCTGCAAACCACACAGGGGATGCAAAACAGCACTAGGCAAGCCCTGTGCGACAGGCTCTACCCAGAAGGCATTGAGGGGGGATTCGATCTCAGGCCATCCATATGGATTACCACCCTCCAAACCAACTGGGCAACCCCGAAGGGTTCCTTCTTCCAGAAGAAATCGTCTTGCTTTTGTTGGGCTCAACTTTACTCCATCTAATCTCAAATGCAATGGGCCTAAAATGCAGACAATTTGGACCTGAGTTTTCTTAATGGACTTAGTCTAACTAACAGGATATACTGTATTTGAGTCTCTTATTACATTAAAAATGCTCAAGCGAAGCAAAAGAATAACAGCAGGAGTTCTCTTCAACGGATTTTCCGCATAGGAAGTGATATCTAATCCATGTGTTCAACCAAAAACTAAGGTGATATCTCAAATAGAAACATCAAAAGTACAGAACCAAATACTTACTACATCCCAAGTAGCCATTCTGATCGTTGAAGAGATTGTTTCTCCGCAACGAATTAGGAATGACAGGCGGTACGGGGCAGATTCTGTCTCAACCCGCACAATTTCAACCTGCCCTGCCCCGCGTAGGATTTAAACCCGCATTCACCCGCCCCGCCCCGCCTCGCCCCGCAAATTTTTTAAATAAAAATTCTCTTTTTTGTGATTTTTTTGCCAATAACACAAATAAACTCCCACCCTAATCATATCAGGTGATTTACTTTCTGCTCACGTTCGTGTCAAATCTAAATGCGTTTAAGGATGTTGCATCTGCAATGATATACAAATAATTACTAATGCTTCTTCTGTTAAATTCACCAAATTTCATATTCAAAGAAGAAAAATTAGTTATGAAAACAGCACTTTAACGAACCTTCGACAGGACACAGCACTAGTTAGTCAAAAAAATTAAATCCCCAAACCGCACCGCCCCATTGCCATCCCTACAAGGAATGTATCTACTTTGCCGTACTTGTATTTCCAATAAGGATCTTTCTAAGCCGCGAGACAAAAGATATACAGGCAGGGAGGACTGTATAGCATATCAGTAGCTTGCCAATATGAAAACTTGATTAACTGCAATACCTCAATCAAATTTCAGTTCTACAACATACATCCAACAGAACATGAAGCATCACAAAGAAGATCACCAAAATGAAAAAGGCAACATATTAACTTTAGAGTAGAACTTTAGTAATGAACTATAACACCAACCTCCAAGCATAGATCTCATTTCAAGCAAATTTAACATGTTCATTGGATAGACAGCAGCTTTAATCAACAGTAACATACAATCAGCGTAGAGGAAACTCAGTTGAATGAATTATTAGGTCTATAATGCCCAGAAAAATTGGGCTTAGTTACCCAATAATCTCAAACAATCATCAAGTATAACATTAATTATAAAATTCTACACACTTGGGAAGATTTAGATTCCGAAGCCAAAAACAGCACGTATCTTGTTGAAAATAAGATCTCGCCATCCCCTCTCAGTATTCTCCACAACAGTTGCATTTCCATATCTGCAGAGTTAAAGTGAGAAGCATGAGACATAGAAATCATACTTTGTCAAAATAGAATGCTACCCGACAAACTACAACTGACCTGTCTTCCTCTGGCACATTACTATGTGTAAGCTTGACTACTGTAACTCCAGATTCAGGCTCATCAAAAACAATTCGCACCTGCAAGACCAATATTGAAGTTACATCAGAAAACTAACTACTTAGCTCTTAGATTATCTCATCTTACCATGAAAAATTTCTCTATGTCTATTGATGCAGAGAAATGATAGCTACATTGCATAAAAGAGTTGCACCATTCTATTACTGACAGCACTAAAAGAAATATAAGGACTTTGAATGCAAAAAGCAGATTTGGCTGCAATCACATTTCAAATCGATACGAAATAACCGGTTATTAATCCTCAATTCCCCCCCCTCCCCC